TCTTCTCAGGTGGGATCATTCCTTGACATGGCACCCAACACCAACGAAGCTCTGGTGGAGAAGGTCACTTCAAATGCAAGATACTGGTATGACGAAAGAACTCCAGCAGCAACAAAACCAGGTTATCTTGAAGTTGACCAACTCACGGCCTTAACAGCAAAGATTGAAGGGTTGGTCGTGGAAGTAAAGAATCTGAAGAATGAAAACAATCACACCAACCAAGTCAACAACATCGGTGCTGTCCCAAATCAACAATCATCCCGATACTTCGGGAACTCAAGCTCTGCTCCACAGTCATCTCAATTTAATACTTTTTCACCTGTTTCTCATTCAACTGAACTTGTACTCTCATGTGAGATATGTTTTGGTCCACATTTGACCAACTCGTGTCAATTAGTCGATGAATGTAATGTAAACAACAACAGGGAAGTGAACATGCTGGAGTACGGCCGAACAAAACAAGAAGGGCCATGGGCGAATCAAGGCAACAGGGGGGGTAACTCCAACTACCCTCCTCAGAATTTCCAAGGAAGGAATTACCAAGGTAACCAATGGCGGGGGGATTACAACAATGGTCCTCCTCGCGGCGGTTATCAAGGTAATCAAAACTACTCCAACAATAATCAAGGGAACAACTTCCAGAGTCGGAACCAGGGAGGTGCACCAGCCCAACAGAACAACCAGGCTTATGTGCCTCCACATCAACGACAAACGGAGGCTGCCCAGCCATCAGAGATAGGCTTGCTGGTAGCAGAACTGGCAAGGACACGGGAGGAAATAACAAGATACAAGGCCAGCACTGACAATCAGATCAAAAATCTGATGATGCAAATTAATCAGAACAATGTTCCTGGTCGTCAGCCAGGCAACTTGCCTAGCACCACGGAACCAAACCCCCGTGAACATGTGCAAGCCATCACTCTTCGAAGCGGGAGACAAACAACCGTGGCTGAGCAGAAAGACAAGGAAGAGGAAGGTACCCCGACCATGGAACCTGAGAAACAAACTGATGCTCCAACTGAGAAGAGCATGGAACCAACACGCCCTAACACAAGGGTCACTATCGTCAAACCTTCTCTCCCGTTTCCTTCACGGGTTAGAAATGATGACGATAGCAGGAAGTACAACAAATTCCTGGACCTACTCAAACAACTCCACGTCAACCTGCCGCTGATGGATGCCTTAGCGGAGATGCCCAAATATGCCAAGTTTTTCAAAGACTTGCTGACAAACAAAAGGCAGCTGCAGGAGCTCTCAGTCGTGGACTTGAACGCAGAATGCTCGGCCGTGGTTCTGAGGTCAATACCCGAAAAGCTAAAGGATCCAGGTAGTTTCACTATCCCTTGCTCTATAGACAATTTCAACTTCAATAATGCTCTAGCTGACTTAGGGGCAAGTATCAATCTGATGCCGTCCTCTATAGTCGAGAAGCTAGGACTTGGGGAAATGAAACCCACCAGGATGTGTCTTCAACTGGCTGATCGCTCAGTCAAATATCCGAAAGGAATTGTTGAAGACGTCTTGGTCAAGGTTGACAAATTCATTTTCCCAGTCGACTTTGTAGTAATGGACATGGAAGAGGATAGGGAAACACCTCTTATTCTGGGAAGGCCCTTTCTGGCTACCGCCAGGGCCTTGATTGATGTCACTGATGGCTCATTAACTCTAAGAGTCGGAGATGATCTTTGCACCTTCCGACTCTCAGATGTTATGAAACACCCCACAGATTCATTTCAAGGATGTCATTTTCTTGATACCTTTGAGTCTATTGAAGGGTATCTGTTTGGGGAAGAAAATGGACATGTAACTGATGACGCATGTCTGTTAAAAGAAGCCAACAGTGATGTGAGTGATGCATGTGAGAGTTGTGAGGATGCGCTGATTGATCAAGCTTCTAACGAAGTATTGACTGAGTTTGAGGGGGAGAAAAATGAACAAAACTTGAAAAACGACCACCCCCTCGAACTAAAGAAACTGCCCGACCACTTAGAATATGCATTCTTGGATGACGAAGGCAAATGCCCTGTCGTCATCGCCGCACACTTAAGTGAGGAACAAAGGGAGAAATTACTTGGAGTCCTTAAGACACACAAGCAAGCAATTGCTTGGAAACTTGAGGACATCAATGGAATAAGCCCCGCCTTTTGTACCCACACCATCAAGATTGAGGAAGGGTTTAAACCAGTTGTCCAACCACAACGACGTTTAAACCCAAACATGATGGAAGTAGTGCGTGCCGAGATTGTCAAACTGCTGGATGCGGGTATCATTTACCCCATCTCTGATAGCCAGTGGGTAAGCCCGATTCATGTTGTCCCCAAAAAGGGGGGAATGACCGTCATGAAAAATGAAAAGGGCGAACTTCTACCCAGTCGAACTGTTACCGGGTGGCGAATGGTAATCGATTACCGCAAACTGAACGAAGCCACCCGGAAGGACCATTTTCCCCTTCCCTTCATCGATCAATTAATAGAGAGGTTGGCAGGCCATAGTCACTACTGTTTCCTGGATGGCATGAGTGGATACTTCCAAATCCATGTCAACCCGGAAGACCAAGACAAAACTACGTTTACATGCCCTTTCGGGACCTTTGCTTTTCGTAGGATGTCTTTCGGTCTCTGTAATGCTCCTGCCACCTTCATGAGGTGCATGATTGCCATTTTTGAAAAATACATTGGCCACTTCATGGAGGTATTCATGGATGACTTCTCTATTTTTGGGGAAACATTTGAAAAATGCCTTGAAAACCTGGAAAAAGTACTTATCCGCTGCAAGGAAACCCATTTAGCCCTAAGTTGGGAGAAATGTCACTTCCTTGTGAAAGAGGGTATAGTACTTGGACATAAAGTGTCAAGTAACGGGGTAGAGGTGGACCGTGCAAAAATTGAGACGATAGAGAAACTTCCTCCACCAACCACGGTAAAAGCCATCCGCAGCTTCTTAGGACACGCGGGCTTTTATCGTCGTTTTATAAAGGATTTCTCTAAAATCGCAAAACCTCTCACCCGGTTACTTGAAAAAGATGCGGTTTTTATATTCTCTGATGAATGTCACCATGCTTTCCAAGCACTTAAAACACAACTGATCAATGCTCCTGTGCTTGTGGCCCCGGATTGGAGTTTACCCTTTGAACTCATGTGTGACGCTAGTGACTTAGTAGTGGGGGCCATCCTTGGTCAAAGGAAGGACAAGAACTTCCACCCAATCTACTACGCTAGCAAAACTCTATCAGGGCCACAACTCAACTACACTACCACTGAAAAAGAATTCCTTGCTATTGTTTGTGCTTTAGAGAAGTTTAGGACTTACATCATTCTTTCGAAGGTTATTATCTATACCGACCATTCGGCCATTAGATATCTCCTCCAAAAGCATGATGCTAAGCCTAGACTGTTACGCTGGGTTCTTTTGTTGCAGGAATTTGATATTGAAATCAGGGACCGAAAAGGATCTGCTAATCAGGCAGCTGATCACCTCTCGAGGTTAGATGCCGAGTTAGCAGAAACTTTCGGAAAATGCGAAATTGAGGAACTCTTTCCTGCTGAGAGACTAATGGCTATATCCGCCAAGGAGCAAACACCGTGGTATGCCGACATTGCCAACTACCTTGTTGGTAAAGTCGAGCCTACCGAACTGACAAGGCACATGAAAAGGCGGTTCCTATCAGAAGCAAAGCACTATTTTTGGGATGATCCATATCTATTCCGAATTTGTGCTGACCAGGTGGTGAGAAGATGTGTTACTGAAGCTGAGGCAAAGGACATTCTGGAGCATTGTCACAGCGGTCCTACTGGGGGCCACTTTTCAGGGAATAGAACCGCAAGGCGGGTTTTGGACTGTGGGTACTTCTGGCCCACGATTTTTAAGGATGCTAATGTATTTGTTTCTTCTTGTGATAACTGTCAACGAATCGGGAACATTTCTGGGCGCAATGAGATGCCCCAACACTTTATCTTACCTTGTGAGGTATTTGATGTTTGGGGCATCGACTTTGTTGGACCTTTCCCAAGCTCAAGAGGAAACAAATACATTCTTGTGGCCATTGATTATGTTTCTAAATGGGTCGAAACCCAGGCCTGTGTCACCAACGACTCTCGAGTAGTCGTGAATTTTCTGAAAAAGCTCTTTACCAGATTTGGTGTGCCCAGGGTTTTGATCAGCGATAGAGGGACTCATTTCCACAATGATCCAATGGCCAGAATTTTGGCCAAATATGGAGTCCAACATCGAAGCGGAGTAGCGTACCACCCCCAGACTCAGGGACAAGTGGAGAACGCTAACAGGGATTTGAAGTCCATTCTGGAGAAAACTGTTGCCCAGACCAGGAAAGACTGGTCGACTAAACTTGACGACGCTCTTTGGGCATTTCGGACTGCATACAAAACCCCGATCGGAACCACACCTTTTCGCCTTGTATACGGGAAGTCTTGCCACTTACCCGTCGAACTCGAGCATAAAGCACTTTGGGCGATGAAAAATGTCTGTTTTAAACTGGATACTGCAGGGAAGGAACGATTTTACCAGCTGAATGAACTGGAAGAATGGAGAGCGCAAGCTTTTCATAATTCCAAACTTTACAAGGAACGAGCCAAACTCTACCATGACCAACACATCAAGGCTCGTGATTTCAATGCTGGGGATAAAGTGCTGTTGTTCAACTCCAGGTTGAAGCTTTTTCCGGGAAAGCTTAAGTCAAGATGGTCCGGACCGTTCAAAGTCGTAAAAGCTTACCCCTACGGAACGGTTGAGATTGAAGATGCTAATGGGGGTCCCTTTAAGGTCAACGGCCACCAACTTAAACTGTACCATGGTGGCCCAATTGAAAAAAGCAAGGAGATTCTCTATCTCCAAAAATTTTGAACCAAGGGAGGACATTCGTCAAGCTAGTGACGTTAAAGAAGCGCTAATTGGGAGGCAACCCAACAAAAAAAAAAAAAAAAAAAAAAAAAAAAAAAAAAAAAACTAACCCAAAAATATTTTACTTTGTTTATTTCTTGCAGATGTCTGGAGGAAGACGTGACGATCCCATTTTTGAGGAGCCACCACTAGGACGGGAAGACCCGCCACCTCGGCCTGATATCCCATTTGCTACTATTGCTGATCGCAGACGCTTCCAGACATGGGGGCAATACCGCACACTCCTTCCTCCCATGATTCTGGACCAGACGATGCTTAGTTTTGCTTCTTCCTTGACATTTTTTTATTGTGTTTGTTTGTTTCTTCAGGTTGGACATTGCGCTGCTCTTTTGACTTGAATGCTCTTACAAACTGACTATGGATGATGTAAGGATTTTAAAAAAACCATTTTATTCCTGTTTCATTATTCCTCTTCACAAAATCTTTTCAAAACTCAAGTGTGAGGAAAGAACCAAAAAAAAAAAAAAAAAAAAATGTGTCTTTATTTCAAGGTTTTGTGCCTTAAAAGAAGACCTCGAGGGCGAGGTCTAGCTCAAGTGTGAGGAGGTTGCGTTTTACACTCAAAAAAAAAAAAAAAAAAAAGTTAAAACCTTGCTTTAGAACAATCTTTTTACTATTTTTGATATGAAACATTAATTTCTCAATTTGTTATCAATCACATAATAGTTTAGGTAATCACCCTTATTATAAGAATTTACTTTTATTATTATTTTTAGAAAACTTAAATCTGTTATGGGTTTTTGGTTGTGAATGTAAAGGGCTGAATTTGTTTTAATTGGACATTCATTCTATTCAAAAAAAAAAAAAAAAAAAATGATAGTTTATATTAATAAACCTCTTCAAAACTCATTGTTATAGGACAATTCCATCTCCGAAAAGGGGCTCTGTTTCATTCGTTAATCACAGTCTGTGAGAATGAAATATGCATTTACCATGGGATAACACCGCCAACAAGAGTGAAAAAGAGCAAAAAAAAAAAATAAAAAAAAAATAAAAAAAAAATAATAATAAAAAAAAAAATGGTGAACAAAATGAATGTCCAAATTAGAATAATGAAAACCTTGGGATAAGGAATTGATTGGTGGTTTAACATAATAAATAGTTTTTCTTAAGTAATACTAATTTTAAATTCTTGTATTTTGGGTGATTTTTCTAAAATGTTTAAAGATTGAGAATAAAAATAAGAGGTTTTTGTTTCTACTTCTTTAAAATAGCAACTAGATTGTAATACAGTTAGACTTTACCTTTTGAGTGTGTTTACAACTAATTCGTCGCTTGAGGACAAGCAACGCTTAAGTGTGAGGAGATTGATAAGTCCATTTTTGTACTTATTTTTCTTATCAAATTTAAGCGATTTTTGAATGAAAATAGAAAGAAAAGACACATTTTATATATTTTGGTTCAAGTTTCATGAAATCAGGTGAAAATCACATCCATAATATGTTTAGCGGGATTTCGGGTCAATTGAGCACAAAATGAGTCAATTTGAGTGACAAATGCACTTATACCGGAAGAAGCAAGCATTGTATCAAGGTGATTCAGAAGACAAAAATGAAGAGCAGGAAAAGCCGCATCTGCCAGACAAAAATGGCAGAAGGCGCCCAAATAGGCGCCCAAAATGGAGGCCTTCGCGGCCGCCTACGGGAAAAATCAGAAGTCAACCTCGCTTTGACCCGGGACCAGGAAAAGACCGAAGGCTACCGACACTGGACAGAAGGCGGCCGCCTACGGTGGCCGCCTACGGCAGAAGGGGACGAAACCAACCACCGGTCGGCCAGACAGGACGGCAGGCGGCCAGACAGGACGGCAGGCGGCCGCCTGCTGGACCGCCTGCGGCGGCCGGGATCCGCCGGGATCCGCCGGGATCCGATTTGACATGAAAAGACGGCAGGCGGCCGATGGGTGACGGAAGGCGGCCGCCCTCTGTGGCCGCCTACGGCTGACGGGGACCGGCCACCGACCGCTGTCGGCGACGAAGACGGCAGGCGGCCGGAGAGAGGCGGAAGGCGGCCGCCTGGTTGGCCGCCTACGGAAGGCGGCCAGATTCCGACAGAAGGCGGCCGCCCTCTTGGGCGCCTTCGGTGAAATTTCTGCTATTAATAGCAGGCTTTTTCCCCATCTCAAAGACACCACTTCCAACCCCAAATCAGTTCAAAACACCTTCTTTCTTCCTCCATTTTCGAGCTAAAAAGGTCTTAGAGAGAGAGAAACTTCAATTCTTCATATCTTCTTCATTTTAGCTCCAAATTGTAAGTTCTTTATATGTATTTTCATCTTCTCAACGAGTAGAATCTGAATCTGCACTTTGTTTGTTCAATCTGTTCTTCGAAAACTTCCAGATTATTTTTCAAGTATTTCGCATTTACTTCCAAAAATTAAATAAAATAGTTGTTGATGTTTAATTCATTCCAATTAATTATATAGTTGTTCAATAGCCTCAAGGTAGTTAATTATCTTATTAAAGTTAATTTTCACGAACCAGAAGTAATTTTTAATTAATTTTGGTAATTATTTGATATTAGTTCGTAATTTAGATTAAATACTAGAAAAAAGGAAAAAAAATTAGTTCGGCCTTAATTTCAGTTTAATTCATAGTAATATCACTCCCAGTAGCTAAAATGAAATTTGTAACGAAGTTAGCATATTTTTAGTTGCTTTTTGCATTTTCTAGTTAAAATTGGGAAAATTATCAATTAGTTGTTAAAATTGGATTTTAGGTTCAAAAATTGGTGAAAAATTCCAGAAAGTTATATTTTAGTTCCTACAAATTTATTGTTCCAGAATATAATTTTTGTTTGATGTTTGCTATCATACATGTTTAATTCCTTGTTAATGTTGAATTTAATCATTATGTTGTTAATTGCAAAAATGATAATGAGTAGCTAAATTTGTTAGGGCATGAATTGAGAAAAGGAATATGGATTGACTTGTTGACCTAAAATTAGGGGTTAAAATTAATAAATTGGACTAGTTGTTTAAAATGATGAAATAGTAATTAATAATAGTTAGCCATTTTCATTAATTAAATTCTTGGAAAATTAATTCTAGCTTGTCTATGAGATTAGAAATTAATTTAAGCCAACCATATTTGAGCACATTAATAAGGCCTAGAAATAGGATAATTTAATGAAAAGGATTTACATCTTGTCTATGAGAAATAAATTCAATTGCTAAAATAAAGAGTTTAACTAGTTAATGAATTTGGCTATTTTTATTAATTAAAATATTGGAAAATTATTTCTACCTTGTCTATGGGTTTAGAATATAATTTAAGCCAACCATTTTAAACACATTAATGATACCTAGAAATAGGATAAATTAATGAAGATAGTTTCTATTCTTGTCTATGAGGAAAGAAATTATTAGTCCAACTTTAGTCTTAATTTCCCTAATTAAGAGGTCCAAGAACATATCCATTTCTAATTACTCAATTCATTGCCCTTATTTGCATCCTTGAATATTCAATCTTATTACATTAATCTTTAAATTGCACCTTGCTCCTAGTATAATTTAGCATAATATAGAACAAAATCACTTTCCTATATTGAAAAAGCTTCCAACGATTAGCGATAGCCCGTGACTAAAATTAAATTAAGAAACTTCTCCGCCATTCCTCAAGAGACACGACACTCGGGGAAAAACCGAAAGGTTAGACTCCGTTTTACTACAACGCCGCGAAAGCGGTTATCATAAGGCAAACGTTGTAGCAGATGCCCTCAGTCGGAAGAGTTCGTCTGGGGCATTGTTGACTAGTTTGAGGGCACTGAGGGCCCAATTGGATGTATCTAGCGACGGTGCCTTATTGGCATGATTCGAGGTGAGCCGACCTTACTTGATGAGATCAAGAAGGGTCAAGAGACTGACGTAGAACTTATAAAGGCCCGGGAACGCATGCAAGCGGGACCGGTGGAGGATTTCAGGGAAAGAGATGATAGTCTCTTGTTATTTCGTGACCTAGTGTGTGTACCGTCAGATGATGAGCTCTGAAAGTCCATCTTAGAGGAGGCTCATTCATCGGCTTATGCCATGCACCCGGGGGGCACGAAAATGTATCGTGATTTGAAAGAAAGTTACTGGTGGTCTGGTATGAAGAGGGAAATAGCTGAATACATTAGACAATGCCTTACTTGTCAGCAAGTTAAGGCAGAACATCAGCATCCAGCAGGCTTGTTACAACCACTTTCCATTCTTGAATGGAAGTGGGAACATGCGACTATGGATTTCGTGGTAGGTTTACCACGGACAATTCGGAACTATGATGCAGTTTGGGTTGTTGTGGATAGGCTCACGAAGAGTGCACACTTCTTGCCTATCAACACTACCTACCCACTTGAGAGGTTAGCCAAATTGTATACGGATGAGACCGTGAGGCTGCATGGGGTCCCAGTGACCATTGTATCCGATAGAGACCCACGATTCACATCACGTTTTGGCCGAAATTCCAGGAGTCTATGGGAACGAGGTTGAAGTTCAGTACTGCTTTCCATCCACAGACGGATGGGCAGTCTGAAAGGGTTATACAGATCTTAGAGGATATGTTGAGGGCTTGTGCGTTAGAGTTCCAAGGAAGTTGGGACAACCACTTAGCACTCGTGGAGTTTGCCTATAACAACAGTTACCAGGCAAGTATCGGCATGCCTCCATATGAAGCATTGTATGGGAGGAGGTGTCGTACACCGTTATGCTGAGACGAGGTTGGCATGGCCAAACTCGAGGGTACTGAGTTGGTTGAGATCACCAAATCAAGGGTGAAGTTGATTCGAGAGAGACTCAAAGTGGCTCAGGATAGACAAAAGAGTTATGCAGATAAGCGTCGAAGAACCTTAGAGTTTAAGGTTGAGGACGAGGTATTCTTGAAAGTTTCTCCTTGGAAAGGAATCATTCGATTCCAAACCCGAGGAAAGCTTAACCCACGATACATAGGTCCATTCAGAATTATAGAGAGGATTGGGGCCGTTGCATATCGTCTACAGTTGACTCCTGAATTAGAGAAGATACATAATGTGTTTCATGTATCCATGCTTAAGAAGTATGTACATGATCCCTCCCACGTATTGGAAAAGCCGCCTGTATAATATGTTAAGACTTCGTAAGAATCTAATCATACCTTGATCACATCATCTTATCTTAAAAAACTATAAGCACCAATGATGGTAAGGTTGTATTGGGAATAAAAAAAATGTTAGTGTAATAAAGAAGCAATAAAAGTTTGTTCAATATGCATAATAAGTTGTACATTTTGAATTGATTGACCTTTATAACCCACTTCTTCCGTTTCTTTCCGTTAAGTTGAAAACAAATCCAATCAATTCCGTTGCCTTTGTTGTGACACCGCACCCGAACGTCCTTGAAAATTCAATTTAAATTCAAATATATGTATCGAATTTCCGACTCCAAACAACTGTAAAACGATTAATGTTCTACGTAGTGCATGGTTGAATATCGTACTGTTCAAACTCGTACATTAGTGTCGGGTTTTGCAAATACTTATTCGGGACTTATTAATAAATAAAAGAGCCCAACATTACCTAAATAGTGATACATAATCCTTCAAGACAATTTGAGGAAGGTCGGGTGGCCCAAACATTATTTTGGGCCAACCTGCTAAAAATAGCAAGTGTTCGAGAATGGCGTTCTAAACCCACTCGGGAGTGACCCACACGGCTAGTAGCTCAATAATACGTATGACAAATGTCAAATAAGTGATTGAATGATTAAGGAAGAATACAAATGCCTATAACCCCACCTTGGGCCTTATTGAGCTAAATAATGGGAGTAGGATTTTCCTTCTATAATATTCATCAAGTAAATTATTGGGATGAGCCTACACATATTGGAGATCAATAATGTGATTTAAGAAGTTGACTTGTTCTAAATAAATTAGGATGAGTACAAAAAGACATCTTTTGACAAAGATAAAACAATAGGACCCATCTTCCCCATTTTTGGATGTATTGGTAGATAATTTGGATCCCCAAAATGATCGGGATCAATTGGGAACCATTCCACATGGACTTAGTACCTGCAAAACAAGTGAAAAGAGGTGAGAAGACCATATGGGGCGGACTCTTGGCTCACATGCACATAAACTCCAAGAGAAAACAAAAGGGGGAGGTCCACCCCATATTTGATTGCAAACCAAATATCTCCCATGTTCTTTTGTGAGCCACATACTCTTTTAGCATGTTTAGGGGCTCCTAATACACTCCCCATACACCCCATTCGAACCCCCAAAGAGATAAGAGAGCAAGGGAATCCACACAACCCAAGAGAGGAGGAAGGAGGAGAGCAGTCCGCAGGTTCGTTCTTCAGGGCGTAGCTCTGATTGTTTGAGCCATAACTTGAGATTTACTCATCCAAATAAGGCGTGCGAGATACCAACAGAAATCTCTCAAGACGAGGAATCCGTGAAGGTCTGGTTTGCATCAATCGGAGTAGTGGAAGGCTTCCAAATCGACCGAGCAAAACACGACCTCGCAGAATACGTCTTTGTATTCAAAGTAAGTTTGAATCCAAAACCTTCCTCTCTATTGTCTAAATCATATAAATGATTGAAGAACTATTATACACTGATTGAAGTGTATAAAATGTTATTATTATGTGACTTTAATTGTTGGAAAGGTTAGATACTAACCTAGACAAAACCTTGAAAGGTTAGGGAACGAATTTGTCGGGAAACACCCGTTCTAGGGACTGTTTTTGCATTTTCGGTTAGGAGTTGAACTAGCACTTTGAGGGGGCTGTTTAACACTCAATTCCAAGCAAGGAATCAGTTCTCAAACCTTCTTGGCCGAGGCTTTGGTCGTTGGAGCGAGAAGGAAGGTTTTAAAGCACATTTGAGGTGAGGACCGACATCTAGTTGCTTACAACTTGTAGGTTATGCATAAGATTACCTAAATGCTTAAATCATGTTTTTTGTGAATAAATATGCTTGAACATGATATGAATGATAAGTAATGGACTTGATCATGAATTGAAACCATATTGATGAATATGGGGTTATGTGAGAAAGAAGTATGCTAAAATGGTAAATTGACTTTTCCAACTCATGTATGAATGTTATGTGTATGTAAATGTATAATTGCATGATGATGCTTAGCACATGGGAGGCTGCCACGTATCTATTGATATGGAGGGGCTACCATAAATGATAAATGAGTTGTAGGAACAATCTTAATGGTATTGTGATGCTAGTTAAGGATTGCCCTAAATGTGTTAGAATCAAACTCAAGGTTTGAGTTTGTTTGTGATGAACTTGAATGAGATTCAAGTGTCAATTGTGAAATCATGAAGTAGGAGATCTATGGTGTGATATTATGAAGTAGGAGATCTATGGTGTGATATTATGAAGTAGGAGATCTATGGTGTGATTTTATGAAGTAGGAGATCTATGGTGTGATTTTATGAAGTAGGAGATCTATGGTGTGATTTTATGAAGTAGGAGATCTATGGTGTGATTACATGAAGTAGGAGATCTATGATGCGAGTTCATGATGATGTACTCGAGCCGAACTCTAGAAATGAGAAGTTATGTTAGGGTTGGACCCTATGTATGTCGTGATTATTAGTCACGGGGTTTGGGAAATGTTTTGTAACAAACATGGGCCTTGAGCCGGCTACTTGACTTTATATAAAGTAAGTATATATTTTGAAAGGGGTAATTTGAGA